ACAAGAAAAGGCAAGTCTCAGATGACTTTAACTCATACAGTCAAGACTGACGACATCAATCAGAGCTTTGTCACGGAGAGGGATTGGGTTACTGAAAGACAGGACCTGGTATCATTATTCGGTAAGGCATTGATAGAGGGTTAGAGAGGAAAACAACTCATGACACTGCGATAGGAAACATACAAACCAAGTTGCGCACGTACGGGTTAAAACCTTGGGTCCCTTCTTCGGAAACCAGCCCACAGGTTTGTATCATGCAATGCTCTTAATGAAGTCGAACTTGATATGTAACCTCCCTAATCAGGCACTGGAGAGTCAATGGGAGGCCTTGTTAGCTGCAGAAGCCAAGCGCTCACGACAAATCAATGCCGAAATAAGAAGGTTTGTCTCTTCTCCTATCCATGTGCGGCCTTGGACAATTATGGTCTTCGTAGCATCAAAGACCGTCTTCAACGACGATTTGCAGAGTTGGCAGATAGCTTTGAGGAGCGGTTGCGCCAGTTTTCGTCGGATCTTGCTGCTATTGAAGGACCTTTGGAGGTAAGAAAATGCACTTCCCAGCATAATATCAGGCTTTCTAATCTTTTCCTAGGCCCAGAAAACACAAGTCAATGCCATGTCTGAGGAGCTCAAGCCCTTTTCCCAGCTTTTGGAAGCTTTAGCTGCGGCAGAGAAAGATTGCCTAGACGCCAATGTGGAAGAAAACGATTACACTATTTTCTCGAGACAAGATTTGGAGTTTGAGTTGGAACTTGTGCAGCAAGCCATAGCGAAACGGACCTTGTTCATTGAAAATCAGGTTTGACCGGTTTTGAGCAGAGATGCATTGAGAGCTAATACATCTGCAGATTGTCTCTCGGAATATGACCAACCTAACACCGGCTCAGCTAGAGCAGTTCGAGAGTACATTTAGATACTTTGACAAGGATGAGACAAATACGCTATCTATTTCGGAGTTAGCAGCAGCCCTCGCCAGCTTGGGTATCGTGTACTCTGTGAGATGCCTCGTCATTATTATTTTATTCAGAGGGTTTATTGTTTGACAGGATGATGATGTGGACATTATACATGCTCAGCTAGAGCAAGAGTACGGCGCCGCCAACTTTGAGGCGTTCATCAACTTATTGGTGTGTTGCCTCGCTAGTATATCAAAAATTGGTTATTTACTTTCTTGTAGGTGGAAATAACCGAGGATCAGACCACACCAGAACAGCTTCGAGATGCGTTCAGAGGAATAGCACAAGAAAAGGCAAGTCTCAGATGACTTTAACTCATACAGTCAAGACTGACGACATCAATCAGAGCTTTGTCACGGAAATGGATCTACAACTGGCTCAGTTATCGGATGGATGTGTCAAATTCTTGTCCGAACACATGCCCAGGGCCAGCAACCAGTTAACGGACGGTGCGGCAGAGAGTGGCACCGAGAAGATGTTGGATTATGAAAGATGGCTAGATGAAGCCTTCCAAGAAGACTAGTACTTCAGCGAAGCCACTGGTTGGACGTGTCTCTGAGATATTGATCGTTTCTTGCTACACTCTCGTGTTTACCTATATCTAAAGATTTACAAACTAGTCTTGGTGCAATATAACCCGGCTCCATTGCGAGATATCTTGGACCCTCGTGCTATTTCCTTGGCCATGAGTGTTAAAAAGCATTCGCAATACTCCAGTCCTTTGGTTCTCTGGCGGATGTTCTCGCCATGATTGAAGAGGGTGACCACACTGAGAGAAATTATCCAGGCAGTTAGTGATAATGAAAATTTTATGCGAGACCTCGAAGTAGAATTGACCAAAGAAAGGCAAATGGATTCTCTACCGATAAGGAGCTTTTAGAAAGGGGTGAAGACGAAAACATTGATTGGACCCTTCGGATTCAGACTCGACGGCCGAGTTGGGGAACTGATGAAGCAGGTGGCTCGATGGATATATAGCAGCCGTTGTGGGAGAACTGTCACCGGACATGACCGAGGGTTGCAGAGAGCAACGAGAGCTCGAATATGGGGTTATCTATTCCTAGTCGTAATAGGATGTCCCTGTTCTGATAGAGGTAGCCGGATTGTGACACAATCACATTCGCCCTTCTAACGTAACGTCGTCGATGAGACCAATTATTAATTGCTGCCTCGACTATCAGTCCAATGTAATGCCATTATGAGACAGCTTTCGTGAGGACTGAATCATTTTGTTGTTCTTGCGTTGGGAATAGGGCCCATATTGGTATATAGTTCGGTGCCGTCCAACCGTCCAGAAAATTCAGCTGACAGGCACGACTTCCCAAACTGGCAGCCTATATGTCGGTCGTAGACTATCCCATCCAAGTCCAAGAACTCTACACTAATACCAGGACATTGCTCCATGTCCTACTGCGTAGTTGAGCGCATCTCGACCGGACACTTGAGCGGTCGAGAGTGGCGAAGACCGTGTCAGTCTCCTTGCCCTGCTTGAACCACGCCTTCACATTGCACGCCCCACAACCGCCACTCAACTTTGACCCTAACAAGTGGAAACACTACGTAGTATCCTACTCTCATCGGAAATGTCCTCTCATGGAAAGAAGAGTAAACGACAGGAAGTGCTTGATCGGGCCATCCTAGCCGCGAATGTCACCAAGAATGCGAGCGAAATGATAGCAGTACTGGGTCCTCTGAAGACATCCATGGGAATGTTAATCAGCCTTCTGGAATCCATAAAGGTCATTCAATGACTTTGGTCTACACAACTAGACTGACTTGCATCTTTACCAGGAGGTACAAACAAACGAGGACAACTGGGAGTCATTGGTGACAAATATATCCGCAAAGGTGGATCTAGTTCGAAATATGTTGAAAGACAAACCAGAAAGTGCAGCTGTTCACGACCTAGTATTCGATTATTCTGGGTAAGGACCCTGATTACTGGACAGACCATCTCTAACGCTCAGCCCCTTTCCCACTATAGAGAATTGGATCATATACTTGTCAATTTGAACAGGATCCCAAAAAAACATCGCGCATGGCCACCGATAAAAGCGAACAACGATGCGCAGAAGATAAAGGAGGCAGAGAAGCAGATGAACGAGGCATTTGACAGATTCAAGGCAAGTCAGCTGTATATTACCTATAATATAGATGAAAATCTAACTCGGAACAGTCTGGTCTCCAAGTCATCATCGGGACTGGCATCGAGGCCCTTCAAAACGGCCACAACGATATCATTCAAACACTCGCCAGCCATAGCAATGACCACGCGCAAAGTCACGCTCGGATACTCCAGCTTCATCAACAGCAACAAGACATGAATGACCAGTTAGAGGATATTCAATCAAAGCAGAAGGAAACGATATCCCAATTAACCGAAGCTGGTACGCTACCCAATTTCTCTTGCCTCATTCACAACATTAACGAATTCTATAGAGGAAATCAACCTCATCAAAGGAGTTAGTACAGCCTCATTGGCTAATGGAGGAATACACCAGATCTGCATGCAAGGGACACGTCTAACCGTTCTCGAGGAAGCAAGGAAATGGATGGTCGACGACCATGCCCCTCAATTGTTCTGGCTCAATGGGGTAGCCGGATCCGGAAAGTCGACTGTTGCAAAGCAGCTATCTGAAGAGTGGAAAGCAAAGAGCCGTCTCGCCGGTCGCTTCTTCTTCTCTAGAGATGCCGAAGAGACTCGTTCGCCCAAACTATTCTTTACCACAATTGCTCAGCAAGGTTTGTCACATCTTGGCCCCGCCGCACAGACAGCCTTCGCTCTTGGCATTCGCAAACTTCGAGATCCAGTCTCGGCGACTTTGGAGGAGCAATGTTCGGATATTTTCGAAGCTCCTCTACAACTCGTCCAGCAGAACTCTGTATTGATTTTGGATGCGCTCGACGAATGCGAGTTGAGAACCTGTCAGCAACTCTTACGTATTCTTCTGCCGCGATTACACAATCTACCACGCCTCAAGATATTCCTCACGAGTCGACCAGAGCTCCACATTCGTGAAAAAATCCAAGAGCACACCCACCATTTCCTATCATTTCGCATAGATGCACCTGAAAATGTGCAAGATGTCGAAATCTACATGAGACGTACTGTACATGGATTGTCACTTCCAGAAGAACAAATGTCACAACTGATCGACCGGGCGGGTGGACTTTTCATCTGGGCCAAGACAGTCTGTGAATTACTTCGAAACATTCGTCGGGATCGAGATGGTTTCATACGTCGTGTCCTGGCCGAGGGAATCCGACAGATGGACTCCATCTATCTAATCGCTCTCGAACAAGCTACCCGTAACAATGAAGTCGAAGAGAGTATGGAAGCGTACATGGATGTGTTGAAGGTTGTTGTAGCGGCGTATGAACCACTTTCTCCGGACACAATAAACCAACTTCTCAACATTCCAAATGTTATGGAAATTGTGGGTGACCTGCGAAGTGTACTTGAATGTCATGGTGTAGAAGAGCCAATTCGCTTCCTTCACCCGACATTTCGAGAGTTTCTACTCAGTTCGGGAGCTTGTGGGCAATTCCATGTGGACCTCAACTTATCACATCGTTTAATTGGGGCGAGTTGCGTTTCAATCATGAACAGAGACCTCAAATACGACATGCTTCATCTATCTGATGGCGATGCAGGGGATTCTCTGCACGATGAATCTTCTGACAATTGCCATGCTGTGCCCTCTCTTGCGTTACAATATAGCTGTGTCTCCTGGGCCAATCATGTCTCTGCTACAGGTAACACCCTCTTACAGAGCACACAACTGATATCTGCTATGGAGGAATTCTTCACAGTGAACTTGATACATTGGCTTTATATGATAGCGCGACTAGGAACATTCAGTGGGGCTATTTCCATGATTCGAAAGCTCTTATCCATTGACATCGTGAGTATATGATATCAATTTTTTTCTCTTATTAATTTTCTTTGAGAATGAGAATATCTCGAAATGGACTAGGGATATAATGCAGTTTCTACGCGCTCATTGGAATACCATTCAAGAAAACCCCTTTTCTGTCTATCATTATGCTACTTTTTCTCCTTTTTCGAGTATTTTTCAGCAGGTATACGCACATTCATCGTCGTTTCCCCATATTGTTGCATCCATCGGCCCTGAGATGGACTGGCCATCTGAAGTAGTTATTCAACCCCATGGGAATGTTAATCAGCCTTCTGGAATCCATAAAGGTCATTCAATGACTTTGGTCTACACAACTAGACTGACTT